AAAGAAGAAGTTACAGGTCTGTGAGAGCCAGAAATCTTGCTTGTTTGTAGGTGACCAAATACTTATTTTCCACCATAATTTGCAAATAAATTCATTAAAAATCCTACAATGTGATTTTCTGGATTTCTTTTTCTCAATTTGTCTGTCATAGTTGACGTGTACCTATGATGAAAATTACAGGCCTCTCTCATCTTTTTAAGTGGGAGAACTTGCACAATTGGTGGCTGACTAAATACTTTTTTCCCCCACTGTAATTGTTACTGTCAGTGTGAAATGTTGCATTTCACAAGGGCCATTTTTATTTTAGATGTTTACTTTTTATCCTGGTATGAAAATATCCCTTTCACTAGTGCAGGGTTTTTTCTGGATCAAAAACGGGCTTAGGTGGTGGGTGTGGCCAATAGCACGGTCGCCGACCAAAGACAGTTTTTCAGTTTTAAAGCAATTCTACACAATTTGCCATGGGGCTGAGAGAAAATGTTGCTGTTTCCAAGCAAATTTCCTGCAATTCTACACATTTTGCCGTAGCTTATGCTGTGTTCTTATGCTATGAGTGACTCAAATATAATAACAAATTCAATGGGGGCCCCCATGCCATGACAAAAATACTCAAATATTATATTATTAAAAAATATATAGGTCCATTTATCTATTCTACTTCATTTTCTATCTGGTTTTAGTCGTTTAAGTTTACACTGAATGTGTTTTCCCATCCCGGATATTAATTTTCGGCCCGCCCAAGCATTTCCTATGCAGAAAGAACCCTGCACTAGTGGATATTTGTTTCCCATTACATCATGTGGTGATGTCTGCTGTGTTGATTTGACTGATGTGGGCAAGAGAATGTCGAGAAAGTTGCTTGATCTACAGGCAGTGACACGTTTTAGCCTTGAAATTGGACTGGGTGAAGTGTGGCCTGACAATCACACACACAGACAACCCCTCCCCCTTCTCTCACACACACACACACACTTGTGTTGTGTCGTGTGATTCACCTCTAAAAAAGAAATTCCCCCTTCAGTCCAACTCATTTCCAGTCATTGGTGAAGAACCAATTAATTAGTCAGTTCATGACACAATGCTATAGGCTGTAATGCCTTTACAACCTTTGCCAGCTAGCAACCTGGAAACACGATACACTGGTAAGCCATTTCCTTGTCTGTGGGTGGGTGTGTTCATGAAACTACCCTTGCCTAATAGGGAAGGCCTTTTTGTGTGTGTTGTTCACTCTAGGGACTGTGGAGAGTGATGGACTATAGAGAGAATCCCCCCCAACCCCCTTCAATTTGTCGGGCATGGTGTCGAAAGCGTTCCACAAGGATGCTGGGCAGTGTTGCCAACTTAGCGACTTTGTCGCTATATTTAGCAAGTATTCAGACCCCTCTAGCGACACATTTTCAAAAAAGCGACTAGCGACAAATCTAGCTACTTTTTCTGGTGTTATTGGAGACTTTTGGAGACTGACGTAAAAGCGCATATCGTTCTTACTCTTCTCAACGAGCAGCGGGTCCTGCCGTGGGCCCCACCCCCGTCCCAAAGCACTCACAGGCGACCCAATCCTCACGCAGCAGTCCCTCCCAGCTACACCAGGAGATGTTCACCCCTCCGCGTCCAGACTGCAAATGAATCATAAAAAAAAAAAAGAATCGACAGAAGAAAGTTCATTTGTACTTCTAAACATATTTAGGGTGTTTTTTACTCACTTTTTGTCTCTTCCACAACCTTATTCCTCTCTCCTACAGCGTCCATCACAATTACATGCACATGGCCAATTATGCAAATTAGGCGATGACGTCATTTAGCGACTTTTAGGACAGCCAATAGCTACTTTCCTTACTGAGGAGTTGGCAACACTGATGCTGGCCCATGTTGACGCCAATGCTTCCCACAGTTATGTCAAGTTGGCTGTTCTTGACACAGCATTGCAGTTCTTGACACAAACCGGTGCGCCTGGCACCTACTACCAAAACCCGTTCAAAGGCACTTAAATATTTTGTTTTGCCCATTCACCCTCTGAATGGCACACATACACAATCCATGTCTCAAGGCTTAACAATCCTTCTTTATCCTGTCACCTCCCCTTCATCTACACCAGCCTTTCTGAAAGTATGGGTCAGACCTGTTAATGGTGGGTCGCGACGTGTTAGAGTAAATGTATAATTATTTCATTAATTACTGGATTTGATTTGGCCAAGTGCAACTGCGCTTTCTGTTCATTGAGCTCTATACGTAGCAGCGGTGTCAGTTTGGCAGCTGCGCGAGTGTGAGTGAGATGCCCGTGTACTTCGCGGTTTACCAGATATTTTTTCTGCAGTTTTCTTGAAGATCACTCTCGTTCAACAGCAGATTATGCGCTGTCAGCCAATGACTTGTCATTCTCACTCGCCATCACTCACCGCTGTCATCAAATGGAGTCAAGCTAGCAACAAGTTCTGACAGGTCAATCGTCATGAAACACAAATACAGCGATGAGTTTCTCTCTCTTGGTTTCATACAAACTTTGAGAAATAATGAGTAGCGCCCACAATGTGTTTTGTGCGGGGAAGTGCTTAGTAATAAGTCTCTCAAAATGAACAAATTAAAACAACACATTATGACCAAACATCCACAGCATAACGGTAAACCCAGGGAGTTCTTTCAGAACAGGCCATAATGCTTCAGGAAACAGTGCTTCGACAGTGGAAAAGTAAGCCAACTAGCAAGGCATTTTGTAATTTTATAACAGGTGTTGATAAGCAGAAATAAGGGAGTACTATCTCTCATATTAGTAGATGTGAGTTTCTCTTTCAAACAATTCCCTTGTACACAGCTAATAGTTTGATAGCTAACATTAGCCAAAGCCAGCTAGCTAGCTACTGATAGTGCAACCCTAAATTACAGTACATTTGAAGATGAAAAATGATCAGGCCTACTGTACATCTTACTGTAGAAATGATTGTTGAAAACAAGTCTAGGTTGGAGCTGTTGCTGTTAAAATACAAGTAATCATTTTTATTCTGAACTGGAATAAAGTGATTAAAGCAAGATGCTTTTTGAGGCAAACCCACTCACATAGTTCTGTGTTGCTCATCTACAGCAGGAAGCAGTCTCCTGCCAGGCTGAGGAAGCAGTAGATATTCTGATCCAGTTTGGCACCACATACCTATGCGAGTCAGGGTGCTCAACTCTCCCGTAGTTAAAGAACAAGTACAGAAACAGACTCCATGCTGAGCATGACCTCAGGGTTTCACTGTCAAAAACTGAGCCCAGAATAGAAATGCTTGTTGAAAGCTTCAACCAGCCACACACCTCTCATTAGGACTGTGTGTGTGTTTTCTGGTGTACATCTGTGTGATGTGATCAATCAGTGTATTCCAATTCAGAATACAAACTATTTATTGTATTTTAACAGCAACAGTTCCAACCTAGACAGATTTGTACAGTGCATTCGGAAAGTATTCAGACCCCTTCCCTTTTTCCACATTTTGTTACGTTTTCTTTGCCTCACAGGTCCTCATCTATCAGCTTCATTAAATAGTACCCACAAAACACCAGTCTCAACGTCAACAGTGAAGAGGCGACTCTGGGATGCTGACCTAGGCAGAGTTGCAAAGAAAAAGCCATATCTTAGACTGGCCAATAAAAATAAAATATTAAGATGGGCAAAAGAACACAGACACTGGACTTTTTCTTTGCAACCCTGTCTAGGTCAGCATCCCGGAGTCGCCACTTCACTGTTGACGTTGAGACTGGTGTTTTGCGGGTACTATTTAATGAAGCTGCCAGTTGATGACCTGTGAGGCATCTGTTTCTCAAACTAGACACTAATGTATTTGTCCTCTTGCTCAGTTGTGCACCGGGGCCTCCTACTCCTCTTTCTATTCTGGTTAGAGCCAGTTTGCGCTGTTCTGTGAAGGGAGTAGTACACAGCGTTGTACGAGATCTTCAGTTTCTTGGCAATTTCTCGCATGGAACAAGGACATTTCTAAGTGACCCCAAACTTGAACAGTAGTGTACATTTGCAAACATTTCTAAAAACCTGTTTTTGCTTTGTCATTATTGGGTATTGTGTGTAGATTGATGATGAAAAAACCAAAATTTAATATTTTTTTTTAATTAGGCTGTAACATAACAAAATGTTGAAAAAGTCAAGGGGTCTGAATGCACTGTAAGAGTGTTTTTAATGGGGGGGAAATAAACATGAATAGCTATTTAGATTGTTATATTTCATTGCATTGTTATTTGCTATTTGTCTATATTGCATTTGTTTTAGGCATAAGGACAATGAAATGTACTGATATTTACATATAGTTGCATGTTTTCATAAGCTTGGGTCCCAGGAAAACACAGAATTTCTAATTTGGGTCTCAGGCTGAAAAAGTTTAAGAACCCCTGATCTACACTGATTGAAGTGGATTTAACAAGTGACATCAATAAGGGTTCATAGCTTTCACCTGGATTAACCTTGTCAGTCTGTCATGGAAAGAACAGATGTCCTTAATGTTTTGTTCACTCAGTGTAGTGTATCTGGCATGATAATGAAGCGCAGTCTTTGACAAGAACTCATTTTAGGATGGCCCTTTTCTGTTATGTAACAAAATATTTGTGTACAATTTGTTTCATAGTAAAACTCTTCTAAAATGTGTCTATGTTAATACATTCAGTGGAAGTTTTTTTTCTTCGACAAAGCAGTATGGGGTAGTTAAATTTTTTAAAAACTGTATATGCCCTAGGAAAAACTTTATAATACTCATTGAATAATATAAAACAAACAACAATTCATAGTACTTATTCCTCATATCAAGGAAGTGTAATCCATCTGTAATGGTCCATTGTATGTATGTAATGTTCTCAGATGAACTACTTTTAGGTAGGACTAACCCGGGAAAGTCCACTTGAAAATTGTTCTATAACATCATAACACAGCCAGCCAATGAGAGAGTCGTCTTCCCTTAAAGGGGAGGGTATGTAGTTGTTGTGGGCGGGGCTGGCGGTGATGTCATTCTATCAAGTCTGTCTTAAGATGAGTGAGACGTTTGGGTCACCATCAGAATGCAGAGTAGAGATTTAGAGTTAAGAAGTTGTTGTGTGGACAAATATTTACACTAAGCAATCCAGGAAGAAGTAGTGACTACTGTGGCTTTTCTGGTGGTTTGATGAAGGAGAGATATTGAAGGCAGCTTATGGGAAGACTATCAGCCGAATTCAACTTCAGTGGTGAGATCTGCATTAGGTGGTTACATTTAACTTGAGTTAACCACAGGATTTTTTAAGAATGCTTTAGGCACACAGAGACTGTGCAGAGTAGAATGAGTTGTTTTGCTTTAGATAGTGGAATCGGTAGACTGAAGAGCAGGTAGCTAGGCATAACCAAGCACAGTCAGTCAGTGCTCTCTCCACCCATCTCTGCTTGAAGAAGCATCACATGCGGACAGCCATGAAATTCAACCAGTGTGTACAACAGCAAGCTCCGGAGAACAGCGACAACAAAGTGTGGAAATGGTGAGAATATTCTCTCTCGGCTAACAGGCTTTCTCAATAGGAACATGGTTTTACCAGTAATGTTTGATGAGTGAAGTACTAACCTACATTGTCCTGTAGTGTTAGCATAGTGAAATGTGTGAATGTGTTTTTTTCCTCCTTTTGCTTTTGGTTTGTCATTAGGTGACAGTAAGGACCTGAAATACTGGTATACCTGTGTACGCTTGTAACGCCAAGGTAGTGGGTTCGATCCCCGGGACCACCCATACACAAAAATGTATGCACGCATGACTGTAAGTCGCTTTGGATAAAAGCGTCTGCTAAATGGCATATTATTATTATTATTATTACTAGTATCAATGGTATCTACAGATAGTATCCATCTGTAGAGTATCTATGGTCATATGGGCATGGTTTTACTCTCATTTGTAAACAGTGAAATTTAAAATGAGAAGTACTATTCCTACATTGCCAGCTGTAGGTTGAGGTTATTATCAGTGAGTATGCTATTTGTAACTAAATGAGCCATAGCACTGATGAACACAGGCACATTGTGACATTGTCCATATTTGGTCTTTAATGAAACATGGAAGAGGGTTTTGCCAACCTGTTTAGCCAGACTTTCTCCAATGGGAGAAGGGGCAGGGTGTGGGTGAGGGCTTGGCTGTTCTGATATTGGATTATAACACAGGCTAATTGTGTGCTCACTGCTCACGTATGTCACACAAACAAATACATGTTTTTACAAAGTACCTTTCTTAAAGCCCACCCAATGTTACGTTTTGTAAAGATGTTTTCTCATGTATCGAAACTGTTATTTCGTTGCATTTGTAGCCTATTCCTGTGTAGAATTGTAATTTGTGCCTTTCGTGAATAGAGGTACAGTCAGAGAAAGTCACGAGTTGGGTTGTGTCTTCGGTCTGTCATGGTTTGACACAAGCCCCCACCTCACCCCACGAGCAATAATGACTGTGGTGCACTGCACAAACCCTCTCTGGCTAACACAGAGGACTCAGTTGTTGACAATAAACAGATACACATTTAGAAAGGCAGAAACAACATATTGAAACCTTGATTTATAATGAAAGATGATCCTCCAAGTACACATACTGTACCTTACCACTAATCTCAGCAACGAAGAATCTCACGTAAACTACTCAATTCCATTAACAGTCCATGAGAGATTAATAATGACCAACATCCTCAAGATATCGATGGTTATGCTGCCAGATGGTATATTTGCGTACTACCGTACCCCAAAGGAGATGATGGGGAATATGAAAACGTTGTTTCTCTCCAAAGGAATTATTGATCTGGCAACCCAAGTTGATTTAAAGTCAATATTTTGCTTATCAGGCAACCCAAGTTGACCTTATGTCAGTGTTTTACATACAGTAGTCCTATTTCAAGGATATGGAAACCCAAGTTGATGTTATTTACATTTTTGTCATTTAGCAGACGCTCTTATCCAGAGCGACTTACAGTAGTGAGTGCATAAATTGTTTTACTTTTTCGTACTGGTCCCCGTGGGAATCGAATCCACAACCATGGCGTTGCAAGTGGCATGCTCTACCAACTGAGCCACATGGGAACTATGTCTCTTTTACAGTGGCAGTCTTATGGTACCGGAAGCCAAACAACAATAGAGGAAGCAGTGTAGTGTGTAATGTAGTAAGCTGGTGTTATCATGTGTGGTCCATTTCTTGAATTTGTACTGTTGTATTACTGTTTTAACACATTTTCTATGTAAAACAAACCTCAATTTCAACAGACAGAGTATCTCATCCTAAACAGTATCTCAAAATAACAATTTTATATTGTACAAAAACTACAGACTACAGCCCAACTCTGGTTTGCCTCAATTAGGCTACTTTGTATGAAGGCCTATAGATTAGTTTTTGTTTTAATCGACCATTTGCGTTTCAAGTTAAGGTCATGTGTAACCAGCTCATAAAGTCAACAAGGACTGCTAAAGCCAATCACATGCATTGTGTAATGATAAATTACAAGTAGCCTTACTTTTAATGAATGATGACAAAGTGCAAGTTTACCGCTTACGGTATCTACCACATACAGTATCTGTATGCTCTGTCAACAAACACTATTCTTCAAACCCCTCGAAAATTTACATGACACTGGAAATTAGGGCCGGACGATACTAGTAGCGCGATACTCGTTAGTATCGTGCAAGGAAACAATACACGAAGCAGAGTTAATTTATTTGGGAAAACAGCCGTAATGTTGGGAACAAACATAATTATGTTGACATCTAGAGTCACATTCATTTATTTTCTAAGCTATAGCACACAATTTTTTATATACAGCAGGTTTTTAAAGGACCAAAGAGTTTGGTCGGCTTCGTGTTTTCATTTTTGCCATGGAAAAAATATTGATATACTGGTATCGTCACAGCCCTACTGGAAATGTTATACAAATACAACAGTGGAAGTTGACAAGAAAAATACGTCCTTATTATGACACCAAAGCGTTTCAACGTGTCGCCTTCATCAGGGTATTATTCCTGCACCTTGGTTGGAATGTCAGGTCACTGTGATGCGTTTATGTAAATGTATGGTCCCTGTCTTGACCCTGCTGCCAGTGTTACTAGACTAAGCCCCAGCCAATAATAGGATAGGTGTTAAGCAGCTCTGCCTCTTATCCAACTGGTCAAAACAAACAGTATGAAGTAACACTGAGCCAACAACCACAAGAGCTCAAAACATGGCTGCTGAGAGCTCACCATGCCCAAACCAGAAATGTTCAACAGCCGCAAAGTTTACAGGCTACAGTAGTGAGCAACCATGAGAGAATTACAACTATATGTTTATTCACCTCAAAATGTCAAGAAAGACTATGACTTGTGTCAAACTACAGTTCTTAGCTGTAAGTTTACAAATGGTGCTCCATCAAAATTGAATAATTTTGGAAAGCCCCATTTAGTCAAGGAGTCATACATAGCTCTATATTACGGAACAACAGCTCTTTACTGCTGCAATCCTTTTGATCAAACGATGAGTGATTAAAAAGTACAGTTCATTATTACCCTTAGAAAAGGTATTGATTACCTGTGGTCTTTCTTTCTCACCACCCAGGCACATACAGGACCCAGCCAGCCAGAGACTGACGTGGAACAAGCCTCCCAAAAGTGTCCTTGTCATCAAGAAGATCCAGGATGCCAGTCTACTGCAGCCTTTCAAAGAGCTCTGTGTGTTTCTCACAGAAGTAGGACATTTGTACTTTTTGCAGTGACCTACAGTGTGCAGAGGCTCTCTAGTCTCAAATTATAGCTACCTGCACCTTAGCGGCCTTGACGGGTGTGTGTAGTTCAGTTTCAGTAGAAAGTCTGCCATTAAGTCCCTAAAAACAGAAATATTAGTGACTGAGAATATATACACTGCTCAAAATAATAAAGGGAACACTTAAACAACACAATGTAACTCCAAGTCAATCACACTTCTGTGAAATCAAACTGTCCACTTAGGAAGCAACACTGATTGACAATAAATTTCACATGCTGTTGTGCAAATGGAATAGACAACAGGTGGAAAGTATAGGCAATTAGCAAGACACCCCCAATAAAGCACTGGTTCTGCAGGTGGTGACCACAGACCACTTCTCAGTTCCTATGCTTCCTGGCTGATGTTTTGGTCACTTTTGAATGCTGGCAGTGCTTTCACTCAAGTGGTAGCATGAAACGGAGTCTACAACCCACACAATTGGCTCAGGTAGTGCAGCTCATCCAGGATGGCACATCAATGCGAGCTGTGGCAAGAAGGTTTGCTGTGTCTGTCAACGTAGTGTCCAGAGCATGGAGGCGCTACCAGGAGACAGGCCAGTACATCAGGAGACGTGGAGGAGGCCGTAGGAGGGCAACAACCCAGCAGCAGGACCGCTACCTCCGCCTTTGTGCAAGGAGGAGCAGGAGGAGCACTGCCAGAGCCCTGTAAAATGACCTCCAGCAGGCCACAAATGTGCATGTGTCTGCTCAAACGGTCAGAAACTCCATGAGGGTGGTATGAGGGCCTGACGTCCACAGGTGGGGGTTGTGCTTACAGCCCAACACCGTTCAGGACGTTTGGCATTTGCCAGAGAACACCAAGATTAGCAAATTCGCCACTGGCGCCCTGTGCTTTTCACAGATGAAAGCAGGTTCACACTGAGCACGTGACAGACGTGACAGAGTCTGGAGACGCCGTGGAGAACGCTCTGCTGCCTGCAACATCCTCCAGCATGACCGGTTTGGCGGTGGGTCAGTCATGGTGTGGGGTGGCATTTCTTTGTGGGGCCGCACAGCCCTCCATGTGCTCGCCAGAGGTAGCCTGACTGTCATTAAGTACCGAGATGAGATCCTCAGACTCCTTGTGAGACCATATGCTTGTGCGGTTGGCCCTGGATTCCTCCTAATGCAAGACAATGCTAGACCTCATGTGGCTGGAGTGTGTCAGCAGTTCCTGCAAGAGGAAGGCATTGATGCTATGGACTGGCCTGCCCGTTCCCCAGACCTGAATCCAATTGAGCACATCTGGGACATCATGTCTCGCTCCATCCACCTAGCCATGTTGCACCACAGACTGTCCAGGAGTTGGCGGATGCTTTAGTCCAGGTCTGGGAGGAGATCCCTCAGGAGACCATCCGCCACCTCATCAGGAGCATGCCCAGCCATTGTAGGGAGGTCATACAGGCACGTGGAGGCCACACACACTACTGAGCCTCATTTTGACTTGTTTTAAGGACATTACATCAAAGTTGGATCAGCCTGTAGTGTGGTTTTCCACTTTAATTTTGAGTGTGACTCCAAATCCAGACCTCCATGGGTTGATACATTTGATTTCCATTGATAATTTTTGTGTGATTTTGTTGTCAGCACATTCAACTATGTAAAGAAAAAAGTATTTAATAAGATTATTTCATTCATTCAGATCTAGGATGTTATTTTAGTGTTCCCTTAATTTTTTTGAGCAGTGTATTACAAAAATACATTTTTGTACACTTTTATACCTCACTAGAAAGTAAAGCTGCTTGTAAACTGTACAGTCTGAATATTCTTTCGACCAATTAGTCTTCTAAAGGGTAATATGAAAGCATTACCAGGGTTCGCACAAGGTGCTTGAGGTGCTTAAAGTACTTGAATTTGGCACTCTGATATTCAAATACTGGAATGCCTTGAAAATCTGACATTTTCTCAAGTTGGTACTTGAAAAGTACTTGAATTAAAATGAGGAGGACAGAAAATTATCAAATATGTTCATATGAAAAATATTAGAAAACTGTATTGGTCTTGCAAATTAATTTCCAGGCAGACTACCAAGTTTTATTTCCTCACGTGTTTTGCGCTCTGGTTGCCAGGCGAGCTCGCTCATTCCATCCACACTGCCACTCAGCCAGGCAGGTACAGACTGACTGATTAGGCGCCGCCAAACGTCACATCGATAGATAAAATGCCGGGCAAATGTAGATTTAATTCAGCCTGGCAGGATATTGATTTTTTTGAATGGGTTTTGCCAAACCCATCAAGGGATGTAGTGGAGGGTAAACGCTGTTTACGCACTGTTTTATTTGTGAAATAGCGTTTACTCACCTTTTTTATTTGGTTAATTATCATTTACCCACTTATTATTGCGTTCCCAGCGTTGATCAACACTCAGAAGGCTTCTTGATCTCAGTTCTAATCACGCATGCCTCTGCGAACGAGTGGAATCATGAGTGATTCATGTATGCTCGTTATGTCCTCCTGCTCCATACACCACTCTGTCCAATGGGAAACTCCGCCCCACGACATAGGCAGAGAGGTGAAACGAACTACCTCAGCCAGACCTACAGTGGCAAGTAGCAGAGGGACGCCGCTGACAGTGAGAATTCTTTTAACATCCTTCGACTCCTGCCGTGTCAACAGACATACCCCAAACAACCCCCCCTGACTCTCGGAGAATGAGTGTACAACTGGTAAATAGTCGCTGATATTTCAGTCAGAAGTCTAGCTAGCTAGGTAGATAAAGGGCTCTAGCTATTAGCCAGGTACTGTAGCTAGCTATAACTAGCTGGCTAGAAGGATGACGTTAGTAGTACAGTGGTTCCCAAACTTGGGGTCTGGGACCCATGTGAGGTCCCCTACAATTTAAATAAGGTCCCCTGGGAGAGTCTTTAATCTTATCAAACACATTAAGAACTTGTTTCTCTTCAAATGGGTATAGAATACAACATTTTAGAGTCAACTAAGGGCCTTTTACACTGTCAGAATTCACTTTCATGTCATTATGTGTTGGGACAGCCTGTGGGATCAAACATTTTGTGAAATATAAAGACAATTTAATATTTTGTACACTGAACAAAAATATAAACACAAAATACAACAATTTCAATGACTTTACTGAGTTACAGTTCATATAAGGAAATCAGTCAACATCATCAGTCCTGACTTACCAATCATGTATGTAGTAAATAAGTAGTGAAACACGTATTATTGAGTAGAACTTGTAAGGTAGCTTAGTGGGTAAGAGCGTTATGCCAGTAACCGAAAGGTCGCTGGTTCTAATCCCCGAGCCGACTAGGTGAAAAATCTGTTGATGTACCCTTAAGCAAGGCACTTAAACCTAATTGCTCATGTAAGTCGCTCTGGATAAGTGTCTGCGAAATGACTAAAATGTAATGAATAGTACGTTTTTTTTTTTTTTATGAGGTTGTGGTGATATACTGCCATCTGGTGGCGACTAGAAACAATTGCATAATAGGAACTATTACAAATTGATGGTCCTTGAAAATAAATATTAGTGCTTGAAAATGTACTTGAAAGTCCTTGAATTTGACTTGCAACTGTCTGGACAAACCCTGCATTACATGTGCATGTTGCTAATACGTATGTTTATACTTGTGCATTGTTCTACCAGAAAAACATGATTGTTTACGTGGAGAGGAAGGTTCTGGCGGACCCAGCCATCGCGGCCGATGAGAGCTTTGCGGCCGTCATCCAGAAGTTCTGCACCTTCAGAGAAGGTGAGGAGACCACGAACCGTCATCAGAGGACTGGGTCGTATTCATTAATGCACAAAGTAACCTTTTTTTTGCAACAGAAAACGAAAATGCATTATCTTATGGGAGAAGTTTAGGTAGTCCCTCCCTTTTTTGGCATTTTTCTTCCATTTGGTGCCTTGTGAATACGATGCTGAAGGATGATAGATTAATCTGTATGACTCTATGTAGCTAGTGATGTACAGATGTAGGATCTTAATTTGAGCCAGTATGCTACAGCAGGAAAATTATCCTGCAGCAACAGGAAATGTGAATTATTATGTAGATTATAAATAATTTACAATTTTGTAGGGGTTGACAAATGTTTTGTTAGGGCAAATCGAGTCAAATTTCAAATACAGATTTTAGAAGATTTTTTAAAACTCAAATGCACTACAAGTTTGCATTTCCTGCTTTGCAGGAAAATTCTCAGCAACAAAAGTGATCAAATTAAGATCCTACATCTGTAGTGTCAATGTCAGGATTGTCTATGAATGTCTATGAAACTCTCACTTGAAGTAGTATAGCGTTCTCTTACCAACATTAACCTAATGTGTTTGGATGCACACCACAGATCTCGATGACATCTCCAATCGAGTGGACTTCATCATCTGTCTTGGTGGAGATGGGACCTTACTTTACGCGTCGTCACTCTTCCAGGTATGCATTTACTATTCACTTTTCCTAGTATAGTAAACATACTCATTTGTCAGTTTTTGAATATACTGTGAATTGTAGTAAAATAAATATTGAATGCGCTTGTTTCCATAGCTTGCTTGTGTGTATGTGCTGATGTGTGTTGTGTTTTCAGAAGAGTGTTCCACCTGTTATGGCCTTCCACCTGGGTTCTCTGGGCTTCCTCACGCCTTTCAACTTTGACACGTACCAGTCTCAGGTCACCCAAATCATTGAGGGTACGTCTTTAGGCTTGGCCTTACCGAATTTCAACAACAGGAGCCTTACTCTCTTATCTGTATGCCGGTGGCTGTTTACACGGCACAAGTTGTGCTTCAGTTAACATTTCTAGCTGCTAGGTTTACATTTACGTTTTACATTTTACATGCTACTTTTAGTTAAACAAAAGTTTGTGTGTTTGTCTGTCTGTCTGTCCGTCTGTCTGTCTGCTGAGCAGGCAACACCGCTATCATCCTGCGCAGTCGCCTGCGGGTGCGAGTGGTGAAGGAGAGCCGAGAGAAGAAGGCCCGGGTGGACGAGAAGGGCATCATCATGACCAACGGAGACAGTGAGGGCAGCCGCAAAGCCATGCAGTACCAGGTGAGCTCTACACAGTACACCTGACTGGTATGTCACCCCAGTATTATGGTTAGTACCACAATAGGTTCCTAGCATCATGATAACGTGGCACATCTCAGTCAAAGGACTCATGCTTGTTGTCTTTACTCTGTGGTCACTGGGTGTTCACCTATTGTTGCGACATGTGTTAAACAAATATGCAGTCATTGGGTGCGTAGAAAGGAGGCTACATGTAGCAGACAAAAGGCGTTTATTCTGGTGCACAAAATCAAATACTAAGGAACTCAAGGTTTTGCTCGCCTGAGGTAGAGTATCTTATGATAAGCTGTAGACCACACTATTTACCAAGAGAGTTTTCATCTATATTTTTCATAGCTGTCTATTTACCACCACAAACCAATGCTGGCATTAAGATTGCACTGAATGAGTTGTACAAGGCCATAAATCAACAGGAAAACGCTCATCCAGATGCAGCGCTCCTAGTGGCCGGGGACTTTAATGCAGGGAAACTTAAATCCGTTCTACCTAATTTCTACCAGCATGTTAAATGTGCAACCAGAGGAAAAAAAACTCTAGACCACCTTTACTCCACACACAGAGACGAATACAAAGCTCTCCCTCGCCCTCCATTTGGCAAATCTGACCATAACTCTATCCTCCTGATTCCTGCTTATAAGCAAAAACTAAAGCAGGAAGCACCAGTGACTCGGTTAATAAAAAAGTGGTCAGATGACGCAGATGCTAAGCTACAGGACTGTTTTGCTAGCACAGACTGGAACATGTTCCGGGATTCTTCAGACAGCATTGAGGAGTACACCACATCAGTCACTGGCTTCATCAATAAGTGCATCGATGATGTCATCCCCACAGTGACCGTACGTACATACCCCAACCAGAAGCCATGGATTACAGGAAACATCCGCACTGAGCTAAAGGGTAGAGCTGCCGCTTTCAAGGAACGGGACTCTAACCCGGACGCTTATAAGAAATCCCGCTATGACCTCCGACGAACCATCAAACAGGCAGAGTCAATACAGGACTAAGATTGAATCGTACTACACTGGCTCTGACGCTCGTCGGATGTGGCAGGGCTTGAAAACTATTACAGACTACAAAGGGAAGCACAGCCGCGAGCTGCCCAGTGACACAAGCCTACCAGACGAGCTTAACCACTTCTATGCTCGCTTCGAGGCAAGCAACACTGAAGCATGCATGAGAGCACCAGCTGTTCCGGATGACTATGTGATCACGCTCTCCGTAGCCGATGTAAGACTTTTAAGCAGGTCAACATTCACAAGGCCGCAGGGCCAGACGGATTACCAGGACGTGTACTCCGAGCATGTGCTGACCAACTGGCAAGTGTCTTCACTGACATTTTCAACATGTCCCTGACTGAGTCTGTAATACCAACATGTTTCAAGCAGACCACCATAGTCCCCGTGCCCAAGGACTCTAAGATAACCTGCCTAAATGACTACCGACCCGTAGCACTGACGTCTGTAGCCATGAAGTGCTTTGAAAGGCTGGTCATGGCTCACATCAACAGCATTATCCCAGAAACCCTAGACCCACTCCAATTTGCATACCGCCCCAACAGATCCACAGATGATGCAATCTCTATTGCACTCCACACTGCCCTTTCCCACCTGGACAAGAGGAACACCTACGTGAGAATGCTATTCATTGACTACAGCTCAGCATTCAACACCATAGTGCCCTCTAAGCTCATCACTAAGCTAAGGATCCTGGGACTAAACACCTCCCTCTGCAACTGGATCCTGGACTTCCTGACGGGCCGCCCCCAGGTGGTAAGGGTAGGTAACAACACATCTGCCACACTGATCCTCAACACGGGGGCCCCTCAGGGGTGCGTGCTCAGTTCCCTCCTGTACTCTCTGTTCACCCATGACTGCATGGCCAGGCACGACTCCAACACCATCATTAAGTTTGCCGACGACACAACAGTGGTAGGCCTGATCACCGACAACGATGAGACAGCCTATAGGGAGGAGGTCAGAGACTTGGCTGTGTGGTGCCAGGACAACAACCTCTCCCTCAACGTGACCAAGACAAAGGAGATGATTGTGGACTACAGGAAAAAAAAGAGGACTGAGCACGCCCCCATTCTCATCGACGGGGCTGTAGTGGAACAGGTTGAGAGCTTCAAGTTCCTTGGTGTCCACATCACCAACGAACTATCATGGTCCAAACACACCAAGACAGTCGTGAAGAGGGCACGACAAAGCCTATTCCCCCTCAGGAGACTGAAAAGATTTGTCATGGGTCCTCAGATCCTCAAAAAATTCTACAGCTGCACCATCGAGAGCATCCTGACTGGTTGCATCACCGCCTGGTATGGCAACTGCTTGGCCTCCGACCGCAAGGCACTACAGAGGGTAGTGCGTACGGCCCAGTACATCACTGGGGCAAAGCTTCCTGCCATCCAGGACCTCTATACCAGGCGGTGTCAGAGGAAGGCCCTCAAAATTGTCAAAGACTCCAGCCACCCTAGTTATAGACTGTTCTCTCTGCTACCGCACGGCAAGCGGTACCGGAGTGCCAAGTCTAGGTCCAAAATACTTCTCAACAGCTTCTACCCCCAAGCCATAAGACTCCTGAACAGCTAATCATGGCTACCCGGACTATTTGCACTGCCCCCCCCACCCCATCCTTTTTACGCTGCTGCTACTCTGTTAATTATTTATGCATAGTCACTTTAACTCTACCCACATGTACATATTACCTCAACTACCTCAACTAGCCGGTGCCCCCGCACATTGACTCTGCAACGGTACCCCCCTGTATATATAGCCTCCCTACTGTCACTTTATTTTACTTCTGCTCTTTTTTTTCTCAACACTTATTTTTGTTGTTGTTTTATTTTTAAAAATAAATGCACTGTTGGTTAAGGGCTGTAAGTAAGCATTTCACTGTAATGTCTGCACCTGTTGTATTCGGCGCATGTGACCAATAAAATTTGATTTGATTTAATTTGACCACAGAAACCTACGGCATGATAAAATACCAGGAATGTCGAAATGTACAACCTGTTCTGGGGTTTGTAAGGTGGCAGCAATCCTTCAGGTCTAGTTTCACTTCCTCCTTATTTTTTTGAGGTAGTCTGTCACATGGACTTGTTTCCCTGCTTTTCTGTAGTTCTAGCAATGCACCCTATGTGCTTCCATTTTGTCCTGGTGCTATCATGTATCATAGGGTTGATGTACGTGGGCTACATGGGGTGTTTGAGTTGTGATCGTAGTTCAAATCAAATTTTATTTGTCACATGCGCCGAATACAACATATGTAGACCTTACAGTGAAATGCTTACTTACAAGCCCTTAACAAACAATGCAGTTTTAAGAAAAATAAGTGTTAGGTAAAAAATAGATGAGTAAAAAAGAAAAATAACAAATAATTAAAGAGCAGCAGTAAAATAACAGTAGCGAGGCTATATACAGGGGGTACCGGTACAGAGTCAATGTGCGGGGTCACAGGTTAATTGAGGTAATATGTACATGTAGGTAGAGTTAAAGTGACTATGCATAGATAATAAACAGAGAGTAGCAGCAGCGTAAAAGAGGGGGTGGGGTGGACAATGCAAATAGTCCGGGTAGCCATGATTAGCTGTTCAGGAGTCTTATGTCTTGGGGGTAGAAGCTGTTAAGAAGCCTTTTTGACCTAGACATGGCACTCCGGTACCACTTGCCGTGCGGTAGCAGAGAGAACAGTCTATGACTAGGGTGGCTGGAGTCTTTGACAATTGTTAGGGCCTTCCTCTGACACCGCCTGGTATAGAGGTCCTGGATGGCAGGAAGCTTGGCCCATACGCTCTGTAGTGCCTTGCGGTCAGAGGCCGAGCAGTTGCCATACCAGGCAGTGATGCAACCAGTCAGGATGCTCTCGATGGTGCAGCTGTATAACGTTTTGAGGATCTGAGGACCCATACCAAATATTTCCAGTCTCCTGAGGGGGAATTGGCTTTGTCGTGCCCTTTTCACGACTGTCTTGGTGTGTTTGGCCCATGATAGTTTGTTGGTGATGTGGACACCAAGGAACTTGAAGCTCTCAACCTGCTCCACTACAGCCCCGTAGATGAGAATGGGGGCATGCTCGGTCCTCTTCTTTTTCCTGTAGTCCACAATCATCTCCTTTGTCTTGATCACATTGAGGGAGATGTTGTTATCCTGGCACCACGCGGCCAGTTCTCTGACCTCCTCCCTATAGGCTGTCTCATCGTTGTCGGTAATCAGGCCTACCACTGTTGTGTCGTCAGCAAACTTAATGATGGTGTTGGAGTCGTGCCTGGCCATGCAGTCATGGGTGAACAGGGAGTTCAGGAGTGGACTTAGCACGCACCCCTGAGGGGCCCCAGGGTTGAGGATTAGCGTGGCAGATGTGTTGTTACCTACCCTTACCACCTGGGGGCGGCCCGTCAGGAAGTCCAGGATCCAGTTGCAGAGGGAGGCGTTTAGTCCCAGGGTTCTGCATTGTCATCATACACACAGTCCCTACTCCCTACTGAGTGGGCTTTGATAAGTCATAACATAGGGCTGGGTTCAAAAAGTATTCCCAAAGTAACTAACAACATGGCTAGTGGAGTATCTCTGGTTAACATGACTCTGGGTGTCCTGGTCCAACAGGTGCTGAATGAGGTGGTGGTGGACCGAGGCCCGTCCTCCTACCTTTCCAACGTGGACCTCTTCTTAGACGGACACCTCATCACCACGGTACAGGGAGACGGTGAGTAGTAAACCCCTCAACCTGCTGCTACTGGGTTAAAGGACATGTTTTACCCCATCTGTATTAACTGCCTCACTTTTATTCCCCACTTTACTTAGAAATTTCACTCAAATAATACAGGGTTTCGTTGTTAATGCAGCTAGCTCTGATTTCAAGTTGTACCAGGGTTTAGATGCTGTAACTGGTCGTTATACTTTGATGTTTATGCAACTGCTTACTGCTTGTGTACAAGCCCAGAGGGAGAAATATTTTGAAGTACAAACATGGTGCTGATGGTCTATTAATGGTGCATACTGTTGCAGCTTGCCTTGTTGGTAGATTTGGCTGAGAGGGCAAAGTTTAGTCTTTGCTTTGCTATCTGTCCTTCACTACTTCCTAGTAACTCCCTTTCTGGAAGCCTCTCAGGGTCTTTCTGAATGTCAGAGGTATTTTCGTTGTCTTGGGGACGGTTTACTGTGTTTTGGAACTTCTTTCAGCTCGTTGTTGGTGTTTTTAGGCTTGAGTGTTGGTGGTGGTGTGGTCAAAGTAGTGTCTGTCTCAGACTGTCTGTGTGTTTGTGTTGTCTCAGGTGTGATAGTGTCGACTCCCACAGGCAGCACTGCGTACGCAGTGGCAGCCGGAGCCTCCATGATCCACCCCAACGTGCCGGCCATCATGATCACCCCCATCTGCCCCCACTCACTGTCCTTCAGACCCATAGTGGTGCCTGCTGGGGTGGAACTCAAGGTAAACACAAACACACACACACAAATGCACATTCATACACACACATGCGTTCAGCATACTGTCATTATCCATTTACTGCTCCTCTCCAGAAAATGTGTATTGAACAGCACACAAGCAATTACCAGGTAACCAATGACCAGTCTGACACACAGCTAGCACAATGCGTACCCTTTCAGTCACTGGTGATGTATGGGAATGAGGACATTGCTTGTAATACACACACTTTCAAATGTTCTGCTAGACTTTTGTTGTCTTTGACTGGTCGTTCATCTGGATTCCTATCTTCTGCTCCATCTGTCACGCTCAGATCATGCTGTCACGTGACGCCAGGAATACGGCCTGGGTGTCATTCGATGGGAGGAAGAGACAAGAGATCTGCCATGGAGACAGGTGGGCAACCTTTTCACCCCTCAGAGTCACCGAAACCTCCCTCTATTGAAAATACCACCAAACGTCAAACAAAAGCTGATAAACATGGAAGATAGCCTGACGAACTCAACCCAAAATGCATCTAACTACCGCAAGGAGCCTGAATACACAGACAGAACCAGTTATATCATTATATTGACCCGTTTCATGAACTCGAGACAAAAATGTCACGTCACATAATGTTCCGTACTGGTTTTCCTTTATGCAACCAGAGATAATTATCTTCCTTGTCGCTGAAATGCTAGCAGCCCATTGATATACCAGTAACAGATGACTCAGAGGACTCCTTTAAGGAAGTTAGTCTGCCAGTTTCAAGTGTCTCTTTCAGCATTGTTTGGGTGATTGCGAATACCTGACATGCCTCCCACTCATACCTGACTGACTATGATGTTTGCTCTTTCTCTCTCTTTGGTCTTTTTCTTTCTCACTCTTTTGTCTTTTTATCTCCAGCATTACCATCACTACTTCCTGCTTCCCCGTTCCCTCCATCTGTTTCCGGGATCCTGTGAACGACTGGTTTGAGAGCCTGGCCCAATGTTTACACTGGAACGTGAGAAAGAAGCAGAACTACCTTAGCTCCGAGGAGGACGAGTTCTGACGCCAACAATCTCGCCTCCCGGTGACGCCATTCTCATAGTACACCAAAATCATATAACGATCCTAAATCTGGAACGCACTCTTTGACTTCAGTTGGATTCCATCAGGTCAATTTGCAACCAACATCCTCCTGAGAATATTTGCATTAATTTGTTTTGGTTCTAGATCATCCCTTACTGTTAAGAATTCCACACCCTTTGAAAAATATTGTTGAAAGGGCCTTTTTATGCCAACAACCAGATTGTCTCATGTCTGACTGAAAACAATCCAGGTTTAAGTTAACCTGTGAGACAAAGTAATACTGAGCTACGGATCAAGCTCAAGCTCCTCAACATATAACACAGATATCATGACTATTGTCAGTGGGGACATTCATCAAGAACCAATGTTCTTGGGGATAAGGAGTTACAAATGTATTTTCTAGTAATGATTGATATTTTTTTATACAATCCCTAAAATAAAATGTTGTATTATTATTATTACTTCAGGAATAGCAGAAGAATTGCTTCTACTCTGCAATAATGAACTAAATGTATAGATTGTGCCTTAAACTCATAAATATGATATAGATCATAATCAGTTAAGGTTTAAATAACTTTAATTTTCTTAATCAGATTTACATCTTAGTGCAGGTGTAACATAACCATATCTTCAGTATTCCTCTCTTGTACAAGCCATTTGAGAAGCTTGAATATATGTTCATCTTACATTAATGTTGCGTATCTTAACTACTCTGTCTACAACAACGCTGTGGTGTCTGACCGTGTGTAATGTCAAAACAGTATGGAACAAACATTAAGAACTGAAGTCCATTCCAGGTGAGATGAGACCACAACTCGATGTCTTCATAGCCTTTCACTAGCTCTACTATGTCTTTAGTTTCAGAGTGAAGTGGGGTGCATAAGGTGATTCCATTGTAATTCCATTGTTTACAATCAAAGCGATTGTGATTCTACAGGGTTTTTACCACCCAACTGAATAATTAGCTCAGTTGGTGAGGTAATGAGTAGAGTCTGGTGTAGTGTCTGGATGGACCTAAACCTTGCTGTGCCTGTGGCACTCCAGGACCAGTGTTGTCCACCCCTGACCTATGGTGTCTGACTGTTATTGCAGTATGCTGAGAGATTGAAGGTATTCAGATGCTACCAGTCGTAGGTAGTGGCCTGCCTTACCAAATGAGACTGCAATACTCAACCCTCTTATTGACAAGCTCTGAAATACCGACTTGATAATATAATAAAATATTCTATTATGGTTTGAGGGTTTTTCTTCTATCCTACAGACAACTAATTATAGTGTATATGAGTTTACTACATACATTATGAATTTGTATGTTAAATGTACTTGTTGGATGGGCAAGTGAAATTTCCCCCAATGGAAAAACTGATCTAAGCTCTGTGGATACCAGCGCACCACACTCTGCAAGAGGACCAGGTAACTCTAACTCTAGTCAATCAATCATTCCTTTATTTTCTAATTTATTTATTAACCAGTTTACACTATCATTGCTGAAATATAAATGTCTTTGGTACGTTTTTGTATATTGATATGTATATGATTAGTACAGTAAAAGTCAGTTTCACTATATTATCTATTTTCTCAAAGTAGAAAATATAAATGTCCTCTTTCAATGGAATTTGGAGTGGAGTCTGTTCAAGTTGTAATGGCAGTCCCTTCAGTTGTTAGGGAGATATTGTTTGGAAAGGAAACATTTGGAAGAAATCTGTTTCTTTGTATGCTACTATACTTTATTTTTCAGAGAGCACAGTGTGTTTCTCTCCTGAAGTAAAGGCAGTCGTGGACTTTGCCTTACAAACCAGCCGATAACTAAAGAACCATGGTTACACTGAAATCATATAAACTTCTATTTATAAACAATGTGATATCATTGTGGGTCCTTTTGGATGAAGGACCTTATTCTTATTGTTCTTTCTATGTCAGTTCTTCTCTTTAAGTGCTTCTCACTTTTAACTTTGTTTTGTAGACTTCTATAACTCTGAGAGCCTATCACTCTTTTGTAAATATTGTTTCTGAAAGGAATTCTATTTTTCCAGAGCACTGTAATAAACCGAGCCAATGTATTGTCAGAACATGTTCATTTTCAATTGTTTTGGTTTTATTCTGTGAGCCTTGTTGAAACATGAATTTGCTACATGTTGGTCATCCAATGAATTTTACCGCTTTTTTTGTGTGTCCAGGAACAAAGAAAAATAGAATCCACATTTGAGGAAGTAATCTCTCTTTCACAGCAGTGCACTTCTCTTCCTGCATTTGTATTTATTTATTAAGCAACAAAGGAGTTTACTGCAATTCCCAAATAGGTAATCATGTGTTAACTGGCTTTCAGCAATGTGATCAACTTTTAATCATTATAAAGATTAATACATTTTTTACAGTGCATTTAAAATGGATATGTCGAGAGTAGTTAATACATAGTAATATATTAATGAGCCAATGAATTGTGGAAGGTGTTAATTTTTGGGGGGTGATTCCTTGTTGAAATATTCAGATGCTACGTTATTGTATTTCATGCATGTCAAGGTCACATGAATTTGACCCCTCTTTTTGTAAGTGACGGGAACAAGGAAAAAGACAGCATAACATGCTTTATTACTTATTGAATATTTGAGGAAGTAAGCTCTTTCCCAGCAGTTCACTTCTCTTCCAATTTTTTTTATTATTAAGGAGTTTACTGCAACACTTGTTTCGTCATTTTATTGAGAACCTGCAGTTTACAAAAACACAATAATGGGTTGTCAACCAATCAATAAAGTGCAGCAAAAACCTATAAAGATAATGTTCACTGGCTTTCAACAATGATTAATTAATGATAGATTAAAAATCATTTCAACCTAAGATATTTAGTGCAGTGCATAGACAATGGACATATCAAGAGAAGTTAATACATAGGAACATACTACTGTATATAAAATAATACATCTTGTTCACCAAAACAGATTAAAAAAAAAAAAATCTAATGCAAATAGAAAGTTAGCAGTATAAAATCTCTCAAATAAACCATTTCATAGACAGGGCACCATTTCCAATGGATGTATTAGAATACCACTGCATATTTTCTTTGGTTTATATTACTACAAGCACACTTTGAATAATAAGGTAAAAGTGATAATCCGTTGAAATTATTATGGTAAAAGCAAAGTGACCCTAAAAAGAAAATCGTTGTGCAGAATATCTGCATTGATTTACATACAGTAGCTCTTTCAGTGCTGTTTCAGAAGTTGGATTGTGCATGTGGCCTTGTAAACTGGTTCTCCAGACTCCAAAGAGCTTAACATCTCACTGTATATGTTGTAGGCACATTAAAGGGTAAGCATTATCCAACATACTGAGGTGAATCCTCCAGAAGTAGGCAAAATGTGATGAAAGTAACCGTGTGTCGTAGACTCATGTAATACATTAAATCAGTGGTGATCATCAGCTATCAAACATTGTAAACTGATTATTTTATACTTAAACTGTTAGTGAAGTATGACAGATACAGTAACTTACGTCTGTCACATGCAGTGAAATTATCTTTAGTAAAAACAGACCAGTCCAATGGCCATTTGAGGGCAATTCCCTCTAGATCCTAACTTCAAACATTGGTCAGTACCAGAGTTGTTACAAAATTGAGAAATTGTTGCTGATCCGTCTTGTGTAACCGTAGCCACTTCCTTCTCATGACAGCATCTTACTGCTTGTCCGATGAAAACACTGGAGAGAGAGAGAGAAAGTACCCTGATTAGCTAGTCTCATACCCTTTACAGACAGATTTACGGTATGTTGCCTGTAAAATAATATATATAAATCAGGCAATGTTTTTTAGCACCTAATTCATACAGTCCCATTTATTAATTTGTTTTAGGCATTTCCTAAGAAACATAATACTAATAAAATGAATTTTCAAAAGAATAAAATTGCATATTTAAAGTTTAATTATGTTACTGCTCTGTGCAGCCTATAGTACGCCATGCACATGAAATCCATAGTTATTTTCTTAATTAAAACAGACACTGGACCTCCCGAGTGGTGCAGCGGTCTAAGGCAGTGCTAGAGGCGTTACTACAGACCCGGGTTCGATCCCAGGCTGTATCACAACCGGCTGTGGTCGGGAGTCCCATAGGGCTTTACTTGACTCATCGCGTTCTAGCGACTCCTTGTGGCGGTCCTCCTGTAGGCTGACCTCGGTCATCAGTTGAACAGTGTTTCCTCCAACACATTGGTGCGGCTGGCTTCCGGGTTAAGCGGGCGGGTGTTAAGAAGTGCGGCTTGGCGGGTCATGTTTCGGAGGACGCATGACTCGACATTCACCTCCCGAGGAGCCCATTGGGGAGTTGCAGCGATGAGACAAGATCGAAATTGGGGACACTGCATGGTCAATCCGACATCTGCATTGGCTGTACAGCCTTTACGGTGATACGACCTCTGCAGAAGTCAGGGCATTCATGCTTCGCAGAGCGGTTGTGACGGAAGTAAGTTTGTGTTTTATGCAGGACCTCCTGCCCCCACCTACCGTCAACCAATCATGTCAATGCGGAGCTATATGGAGTCCTCCACATTGTTAAAACATTTGGGAAGCACACGGCGATCCGGTATGGAGCTCAATTTGGCCTCTGCAAGCCTCCGGGGGCTCCGCAATTGTGTCACACCCTCCGTACAGAGCCTCTGGATCGCATCGCTGGAGCAAGCGTAAATTGGCTTTACATAGGCAGAGCTTTACCGCAATCATGACTTGGTCGGTTGGCAGAAATAAAAGTAGAGACTGCCGCCGGCAAAACCTTTTCATACAGTGGGGAAAAAAAGTATTTAGTCAGCCACCAATTGTGCAAGTTCTCCCACTTAAAAAGATGAGAGAGGCCTGTAATTTTCATCATAGGTACACGTCAACTATGACAGACAAAATGAGAAAAAAAATCCAGAAAATCACATTGTAGGATTTTTAATGAATTTATTTGCAAATTATGGTGGAAAATAAGTATTTGGTCAATAACAAAAGTTTCTCAATACTTTGTTATATTCCATTTGTTGGCAATGACACAGGTCAAACATTTTCTGTAAGTCTTCACAAGGTTTTCACACACTGTTGCTGGTATTTTGGCCCATTCCTCCATGCAGATCTCCTCTAGAGCAGTGATGTTTTGGGGCTGTCGCTGGGCAACACGGACTTTCAACTCCCTCCAAAGATTTTCTATGGGGTTGAGATCTGGAGACTGGCTAGGCCACTCCAGGACCTTGAAATGCTTCTTACGAAGCCACTCCTTCGTTGCCCGGGCGGTGTGTTTGGGATCATTGTCATGCTAAAAAGACCCAGCCACGTTTCATCTTCAATGCCCTTGCTGATGGAAGTAGGTTTTCCCTCAAAATCTCACGATACATGGCCCCATTCATTCTTTCCTTTACACGGATCAGTCGTCCTGGTCCCTTTGCAGAAAAACAGCCCCAAAGCATGATGTTTCTACCCCCATGCTTCACAGTAGGTATGGTATTCTTTGGATGCAACTCAGCATTCTTTGTCCTCCAAACACGACAAGTTGAGTTTTTACCAAAAAGTTATATTTTGGTTTCATCTGACCATATCACATTCTCCCAATCCTCTTCTGGATCATCCAAATGCACTCTAGCAAACTTCAGACGGGCCTGGACATGTACTGGCTTAAGCAGGGGGACACGTCTTGCACTGCAGGATTTGAGTCCCTGGTGGCGTAGTGTGTTACTGATGGTAGGCTTTGTTACTTTGGTCCCAGCTCTCTGCAGGTCATTCACTAGGTCCCCCCGTGTGGTTCTGGGATTTTTGCTCACCGTTCTTGTGATCATTTTGACCCCACGGGGTGAGATCTTGCGTGGAGCCCCAGATCGAGGGAGATTATCAGTGGTCTTGTATGTCTTCCATTTCCTAATAATTGCTCCCACAGTTGATTTCTTCAAACCAAGCTGCTTACCTATTGCAGATTCAGTCTTCCCAGCCTGGTGCAGGTCTACAATTTTGTTTCTGGTGTCCTTTGACAGCTCTTTGGTCTTGGCCATAGTGGAGTTTGGAGTGTGACTGTTTGAGGTTGTGGACAGGTGTCTTTTATACTGATAACAAGTTAAAACAGGTGCCATTAATACAGGTAACGAGTGGAGGACAGAGGAGCCTCTTAAAGAAGAAGTTACAGGTCTGAGAGAGACAGAAATCTTGCTTGTTTGTAGGTGACCAAATACTTATTTTCCACCATAATTTGCAAATAAATTCATTAAAAATCCTACAATGTGATTTTCTGGAGAAAAAAAATCTCATTTTGTCTGTCATAGTTGACGTGTACCTATAATGAAAATTACAGGCCTCTCATCTTTTTAAGTGGGAGAACTTGCACAATTGGTGGCTGACTAAATACTTTTTTCCCCCCACTGTATATAAAGGAAAGTTGAAGGAGTTGGAAAGGTGTATCACACAGTCAACACAAACAAGTAGTTGAAGGTCTGTTTCACAATTTCAGTCAGAAGTTCTTGGAATGACTGTTTTACTGTGCCCATAACAAAAAAGTGTTAATACAAATGCTCCTTCAATGTGTCAAAACATTGAATGTTTGTGTCGTCTATGAGCCTTGTTCTAGTCTAGCCTGAGTATACTGACCCCTTGTAAACAGAGTGGAACAGGTGAAGGAAAAATACAGGCAGTACTCTACTCACTCCTCTCCCTCAGGCCCTGGCCGAAGCTGCGCGCCAATCGGAAGAGAGACCCGAAAAGCACGCCTTTGATCAGCACTGAGATCACCGCTCCAGTCACAGCAGCGGCCTCCAGTGTATACGTCTTGTCCTGCCCCCAATGTGCACTGATCTGAAATCAGAAGACCATATGAAGTCCATCTCAGAGCAACCATCCACCATAATTTCCCTAAAGACCTGATTTGGGATCAGTTCAACCACTGGCTTTCACAGCTCACCCTGTACATCAGGTACACGAAGTAGGCCACCTCCGGCACATTCTGAAGGACAAAGACCCAAACCAGCAACTTGGCTTCTTTTAAAACCTGGAACAAAGGACAGATAAACCTGTTTTACATGATGTACAGTTGAAGTCAGAAGTTTACATACACCTTAGCCAAATACATGTAAACTCAGTTTTTCACAATTCCTGACATTTAATCCTAGTAAAAATTCCCTGTCTTAGGTCAGTTAGGATCACCACTTTATTTTAAGAATGTGAAATGTCAGAATAATAGTAGAGAGAATGATTTATTTCAGCTTTTATTTCTTTCATCACATTCCCACTGGGTAAGAAGTTTACATACACTCAATTAGTATTTGGTAGCATTGCCTTTAAATTGTTTAACTTGGGTCAAACGTTTCAGGTAGCCTTCCACAAGCTTCCCACAATAAGGTGGGTGACTTTTGGCCCATTCCTCCTGACAAAGCTGGTGTAACTGAGTCAGGTTTGTAGGCCTCCTTGCTCGCACACGCTTTTTCAGTGGTCCCATGGTGTTTATACTTGCATACTATTGTTTGTACAGATGAACGTGTTACCTTCAGGCGTTTGGAAATTGCTCCCAAGGATGAACCAGATTTTTGGAGGTCTACAAATTTTTTTCTGAGGTCTTGGCTGATTTCTTTTGATTTTCCCATGATGTCAAGCAAAGAGGCACTGAGTTTGAAGGTAGGCCTTGAAATACATCCACAGGTACACCTCCAACTGACTCAAATGATGTCAATTAGCCTATCAGAAGCTTCTAAAGCCATGACATCATTTTCTGGAATTTTCCAAGATGTTAAAGGCACAGTCAACTTAGTGTATGTAAACTTCTGACCTACTGGAATTGTGATACAGTGAATTTATAAGTAAAATAATCTGTCTGTAAACAATTGTTGGAAAAATTACTTGTGTCATGCACATAGTAGATGTCCTAACAGACTTGCCAAAACTATAGTTTGTTAACAAGAAACAAGTTTTAATGACTCCAACCTAAGTGTATGTAATACTATAATATAATATAATATTCCATTTAGCAGACACTTTTATCCAAAGCGACTTACAGTCATGTGTGCATACATTTTTACGTATGGGTGGTCCCGGGGATCGAACCCACTACCCTGGCGTTACAAGCGCCATGGTCAGAAGTGCTCTACCAATTGAGCTACAGAGGACCACTTCCGACTTCAACTGTATGCGCTTGATAAGTGCTTACAGGTTAACATAATTATTTCCACCACCCTTCCTTTAATTGAGTTCACATACTTTATGAATAGTATCGTGTAGTCTTTCATTGTGAAATATTTATGTTCTATTCTTTACATACTCATACTGTTTATGCACTTGTGCAGTGCACCCTAATTATTAGATTACATATTTTATTATCTTGATATTTGTTACTCACTGCGATAGCCCCCATGGCTGCGGTAAGGCAGGCCCAGACCACTCCAAAGCCCAGGATGATGCTGTTCGTGAAGGACATGGTTGTGCCTGACGTCATAATCAGTATGCAAAGGCACAGCTGACAGAGAAACAGCAAAACCAGCCACAGGTTATACCAACTATCAATCCAGTACAGCTCCATCCCAAAGACCCTGATGTATGAATGACCCTGATATAAAGGATGATAGTAAAAAGCTTTAGAGCACCTTAAATAAATAAAAATACAAAAAGGCAAACTCCGCTCCATCATTCATTGAATCAAATGGCTAATTCATAACAAAACCCACTGATATTGCCAACTACTTGAATTATTTTTTTAATTGGCAAGATTAGCAAATTTAGGCATGACATGCAAACACAAATTCTGAACATACACATCAATACATAACTGACCAAATTATGAAAGACAAACATTGTAATTTTGAATTCTGTAAATTGTGTGTGGAAGAGCTGAACAAATGGTTGTCTATCAACAATGGCAAGCCACCTGGGTCTGACAACTTGGATGGAAAATTAGAGGATGGTAGCGGACTATATTGCCACCTCTTCAATCTAAGCCTACAGTTAAGTGTGTGCCCTCAGACCTGGAGGGAAGCAAAAGTCATTCCGCTACCCAAGTATAGCAAGGCACCCTTTACTGGCTCAAACAGCTAACCAATCAACCGGTTGCCAACCCTTAGTAAACTTTTGGGAAAAAATGTGTTTGACCAGATACAATGCTATTTCACAGTAAACAAATTAACAACTGACTTTCGGCACGCTGATAGGGAAGGGCACTCAACATGTACGGCACTTACACAAATGACTGATGATTGGCTGAAAGAAATGGATAATACGATTGTTGGAGCTGTTTTGTTAGACTTCAGTGCAGCTTTTGACATTATCGATCATAATCTGCTACTGGAAAAACTTGTGTGTTATGATTTTACATCCCCTGCTATATCGTGGATCGAGAGTTCTGTCTAACAGAACACAAAGGGTGTTTTTTAATGGAAGCCTCTCCAACAATCCATGTAGAGTCGGGTATTCCCCAGGATAGCTGTTTAGGCCCCTTACTTTGTTCAATCTTTACTAATGACCTGGCTCTGAGTAAAGCCTGTGTGTCTATGTATGCTGATGACTCAACACTATGCACGTCAGCTACCACAGCAAGTAAAATCACTGCAATACTTAAAGAGCTGCAGTCAGTTTTAGAATGGGTGGCAAGTAATAAGCTAGTCCTAAATATTTCAAATACTAAAAGCATTATATCTGGGACAAATCATTCACTAAAACCTAAACTAAATCGTGTAATGAAGAATGTGAAAATTGAGCAAGTTGAGCAGACTAAACTGCATGGTGTAACCCTGGATTGTAAACTGTCATGGTCAAAACATATTGATGCAACGGTAGCTAAGATGGTGAGAGTTCTGTCCGTAATAAAGCGATACTCTGCTTTCTTGACATTGCTATCAACAAAACAAGTCTTACAGGCTCAAGTTGTCGCACCTGGACTACTGCCCAGTCATATCGTCAAGTGCCACAAAGAGGGACAAAGGCAAATTACAGTTGGCCCAGAACAGAGCAGCATGGCTGGCCCTTAAATGTACACATAGATCTAATATCAATGACATGCATGTCAATCTCTCCTGGCTCGAAGTAGAGGAGAGATTGACTGCATCACTACTTGTCTTTGTGAGAGGTATAGACATGTTGAAAGCACAGAGCTGTCTGTTTAAACTACTAGCACACAGCTTAGACACCCCTGCATACCCCACAAGACATGCCACCAGAGGTCTCTTCACAGTCCCCAAGTCCAGAAAAGACTCTGGAAAACACACAGTACTACACAGAGCCATGACTACATGGAACTCTATTCCACATCAAGTAACTCTTGCAAGCAGTAAAATCAGGTTTTAAAAAACATACAAAAACGACACCTTATGGAACAACGCAGACTGTGAAGAGACACACACAAGCACATGTATGGTGGTATTATAAATGTATTGTAGATATGTAGTGGTGTAGTAATGTTACATGTACTGTTTTATTTTTGCCTTAATTTGTTTGGACTCCAGGAATAGTAGCTGCTGCCTTGGCAGCAGCTAATGGGGATCCTTATAAATACAAAAAAATACCCTGAAGTCAATCATACATATCTGCACCACAGATGCTCAGTGTCGAGGCAACAGATCATGTTAGAATGGTGCCATCTGTCAGAAGAAAATGGTTGTCGGTTGTCAGTATTATGACGCATGTGGAATGTGGCGGTACCTGGGCCTGTAGATCAAAGGTGACCATGGAGAAGCACAGGTTGATCAGGAAGTACTGCTCCTGGAGGCTCTCCAGAGCTCCGCCCACCCGGAAGGCCATCATGTTGGGCCTTTGGATGAGCAGCGTGGCGCACAGGACATGGACCATTCCTACACACAGGATGCACACAAACCGCACCTGCCACACAAGCACACACCGATTAACTACTGCAGCTACTCAAACCGCACCTGTGACATAAGCACATGCACAATCATATCTGGTCACAATTGAGCCGTGTTCAGTAGGGAGAAAATGTTTTGAAACAGGGAGGTACTACCTGAACTTGTCCAATGAGAACACAGATTGTTGTTTTCCGTTGCAAAACACTTTGCTACGGTATACCCTACTGAACATGACCCTGGATTAGACATACAGTGGGGGAAAAAAGTATTTAGTCAGCCACCAATTGTGCAAGTTCTCCCACTTAAAAAGATGAGAGAGGCCTGTAATTTTCATCATAGGTACACGTCAACTATGACAGACAAATTGAGGAAAAAATTTCCAGAAAATCACATTGTAGGATTTTTTAATGATTTTATTTGCAAATTATGGTGGAAAATAAGTATTTGGTCACCTACAAACAAGCAAGATTTCTGGCTCTCACAGACCTGTAACTTCTTCTTTAAGAGGCTCCTCTGTCCTCCACTCGTTACCTGTATTAATGGCACCTGTTTGAACTTGTTATCAGTATAAAAGACACCTGTCCACAACCTCAAACAGTCACACTCCAAACTCCACTATGGCCAAGACCAAAGAGCTGTCAAAGGACACCAGAAACAAAATTGTAGACCTGCACCAGGCTGGGAAGACTGAATCTGCAATAGGTAAGCAGCTTGGTTTGAAGAAATCAACTGTGGGAGCAATTATTAGGAAATGGAAGACATACAAGACCACTGATAATCTCCCTCGATCTGGGGCTCCACGCAAGATCTCACCCCGTGGGGTCAAAATTATCACAAGAACGGTGAGCAAAAATCCCAGAACCACACGGGGGGACCTAGTGAATGACCTGCAGAGAGCTGGGACCAAAGTAACAAAGCCTACCATCAGTAACACACTACGCCGCCAGGGACTCAAATCCTGCAGTGCCAGACTGTCCCCCTGCTTAAGCCAGTACATGTCCAGGCCCGTCTGAAGTTTGCTAGAGTGCATTTGGATGATCCAGAAGAGGATTGGGAGAATGTCATATGGTCAGATGAAACCAAAATAGAACTTTTTGGTAAAAACTCAACTCGTCGTGTTTGGAGGACAAAGAATGCTGAGTTGCATCCAAATAACACCATACCTACTGTGAAGCATGGGGGTGGAAACATCATGCTTTGGGGCTGTTTTTCTGCAAAGGGACCAGGACGACTGATCAGTGTAAAGGAAAGAATGAATGGGGCCATGTATCGTGATATTTTGAGTGAAAACCTCCTTCCATCAGCAAGGGCATTGAAGATGAAACGTGGCTGGGTCTTTCAGCATGACGATGATCCCAAACACAACGCCCGGGCAACGAAGGAGTGGCTTCGTAAGAAGCATTTCAAGGTCCTGGAGTGGCCTAGCCAGTCTCCAGATCTCAACCCCATAGAAAATCTTTGGAGGGAGTTGAAAGTCCGTGTTGCCCTGCTCTAGAGGAGATCTGCATGGAGGAATGGGCCAAAATACCAGCACCAGTGTGTGAAAACCTTGTGAAGACTTACAGTAAACGTTTGACCTGTGTCATTGCCAACAAAGGGTATATAACAAAGTATTGAGAAAGTTTTGTTATTGACCAAATACTTATTTTCCACCATAATTTGCAAATAAATTCATTAAAAATCCTACAATGTGATTCTCTGGAGAAAAAAAATCTAATTTTGTCTGTCATAGTTGACGTGTACCTATGATGAAAATTACAGGCCTCTCTCATCTTTTTAAGTGGGAGAACTTGCACAATTGGTGGCTGACTAAATACTTTTTTTCCCCACTGTAGGAGTTGGTTTAATTTTGTCAGTCCACATGCAACGTACCAGAAGCAGGTCCTTTCTATCCTGGACAGGGAGCACCATGAAGTTGACCACAGACCGCATCATGACCACCAACACACTGAGGACAAACACTATCAACTCTTGCCTGTTCTCCTGCAGGATGCCCCTAGTGATGTAGTATATGCAGAACACTGGAGAAACATAAAGAAGACTGTGTGTGATACAGTATTGGTGTAGGCGGCATAATCAGGATTTAACCATAGCACACAATGTTGTCATGGGGTGAGCCGAGTTGGGGATTGCATTTATTTTCTCTGAACTTTTCATTATGTGTTCATGTCTGGACACAGTAAGGAGTTGGCACTCTGTTGATTACATCATTAGTTAACAATCCATTTCTATCACCCCTAATGTAAGACATGCCACTTACAAATTCCAACCAGTTGGATGAGGGATACAGTGAAGTCGTCCTCATAGCTGTACGTTGCCATGCTTTGCCTGTAGATGTTTGTCAGTGTGAGGGCAAATAGTGCCAGTAGAGAGGCGATGGTGAAGCAGAAGTAAAGCTTCACCAAGCATGACAGCTCTGACCAAGGCTTTATCTGTGGGGAGGAGAAAGCAAAGCATATAAGCTTTCTTTAGTCACAGACACCTAGGGCCCTTTTAAATCAAAACGGGTGCAAATTCCTGAGTAAGACAAAGGAACATTCTTCTTGTGCTGTGAAAATGTAGCCTACATTCTTATTCATGTGATAAGAGAAAATGTTTTACTGAGAGACACAAAAAGGAACTTATCTTTATAGGAATTCAAAGGTTTTCTGCAGTGCAGGAAGAATGTTGAAATGAAATTCTGGTTCCCAATTCAAGCAATAGCTAGAATAGATAAATGTGACAATGTCTACTCTGTGTAAAATGAGAACAATTGGGACGTATACTGACCGGGCCACATGGTGTTGGGATCAGTTCCTGGTGCCTTGGTCTCAGGTTTGGGGATGGGAGATCTGAGCCCTCCCACGGCTGATTGCTCAACAGTGGACTGAAATAGAAATATATGTGGATATTAGTTACTGTGCAAGATGCTAATAGGTTCAAATTCAATGGCTAATATACGCATAATATGTAATATTCATTGATCTATGATGAGATACAGGTAACTGCCAAAATCAAGGAAACCCCAACATAAAGTGTCTTAATAGGGCATTGGGCCACCACGAGCCAGAACGGCTTCAATGCACCTTGGCATAGATTCTACAAGGGTCTGGAACTCTATTGGAGGGATCTGACACCATTATTCCATGAGAAATTCAGTTATTTTGTGTTTTGTTGATGGTGGTGGAAAATGCTGTTTCAGGCACCGCTCCAGAATTTCCCATAAGTGTTCAATTGGGTTGAGATCTGGTGACTGAGACGGCCATGGCATTGGGTTTACAAGATATGTGTCGGAAAACGTACCTCAATGCAGAGATGGGATATGCCACTGTACTCAATTTGATCTTTATCCACACTGATACATCGAGAAGATTGAAATACTGCTAGTTTTCCCAGAAAACGGCCCTTTTCTTCAGGACACACGTTTCACGCCACTTCGATACAAAGTGATTTTTGTAGCAGGTTAGGAGAGCATTTTCGCCAACCCTAACTATTTTCTTAACCTTAACCGTAGTCTGCTACGAAAAAGTAACTTCAATATCGAAGTGGCGTGAAAAGCGTGTTTCCCATTTCCTTCCTCATGCTAGCTAGCAGTAGCCACCGCAGCCATTTTGGAATGGCAGTATCAGCCAATCAGCACCTTTGTTGTTCAATGCAACGTGCCATTCCATAATGGCTACTGTGGCTACTGCTAGAGGACGAAAAGGTCAGTTTTCTGGGAAAACTAGCAGTATTTCAATGTTCTCGATGGAGCTGTGTGGACAAAGGTAAAGGACAAAGGTAAAAATGTGGAATACAGTGGCATATCCCATCCCTGCATTGAGGTACGTTTTCAGACCTATATCTTGCACCTGCTCCAAGTGTCTTATGCCGCTATCAAGTCATGTCAAACTGGGGCTCTCCGATTAAAATTAACTTTAGTTGTTTGTGTAGACCTTCCCATTGGTTGATTCTGATACCTATGTGGGAAACTCGGGATCCGACTCTTCTGCCAAGGTTAGCAAGTTGGCCATTTCCGAGTTTCTGACATGGCATTAATGTAACAATGATTGAGTTCCGACCCCAGTGCAACTCAGTGTAAACAAGCCTAATGGTAGGGTTGGTATCTTCTGGCAATGGACACACCAAACGAAAGAATGTTGGAAACGGAACTAAAATCACATCTCACATACTGTCACTAAACTTACACTACATCGATTATTGTAATTATGTTAATGTATCGAGCTCATCAACTCACCGTATCTCGTCCATTTTTAAGTGAAACAGCAACTAGATAATCGTGTTCTTGATGTTTCTACATCTCCGCAAGCAAGCCCACATTGGCTGCTAAATTCAAATTTATTCACGCCACATCTTCTTTGGGTTTTAATGGCGGTGTGCAAACCATAACCCCACAGTTCCGCTTACAAGTGTATATGTCTGACGTCATTCTGAGATCTATTCAGCATGCATAACATGCACGTACTTGTTTGAAAACAGGGGTCCTTTCGATATCATAATAATAGTCAATAGTGAATGTTTTAGAACAGGAATGGTGCTGAACACTGTACGATGATTTGTTTCGGGGTTTTTTTAGCACAACGGCTTAAAATACACTTTGCATTCGCAAACCAGTAAAGATTTGCTAACTCTGCATTCATCTCAACCATCGAAACGTTACATCTTGAACACACCCCTGATGAGGTTGCACGGGAAATGTTTGGCCACAAGGGGGCATAATGACTCCCCAAGCCACTGATCAATGCATTGGACATTGTAAACAAAGACAATACAAACGTAGCCAAATCAAATCAAAATTGTATTTGCCACATGCACCGAATACAACAGGTGTAGACCTTACAGTGAAATTAACCAACATTGCAATTAAGAAAAAAAAAGTGTTAAGTAAAAAATAATTAATTAAAGAGCAGCAGTAAAATAATTAACAGTTGGAAGGCTATATACAGGGGGTACCGGTACAGAGTAGAGGTAGTTGAGGTAATATGTACATGTGGGTAGAGTTAAAGTGACTATACACAGATAATAAACAGAGTAGCAGCAGCGTAAAAGAGGGGGTGGGGTGGGCAATGCAAATAGTCTGGGTAGCCATAATTAGCTGTTCAGGAGTCTTATGTCTTGGGGGTAGAAGCTGTTAAGAAGCCTTTTGGACCTAGACATGGCACTCCGGTACCGCTTGCCGTGCGGTAGCAGAGAGAACAGTCTATGAATAGGGTGGCTGGAGTCTTTGACAATTTTTAGGGCCTTCCTCTGACACCGCCTGGTATAGAGGTCCTGGATGGCAGGAAGCTTGGCCCGTACGCTCTGTAGTGCCTTGCGGTCAGAGGCCGAGCAGTTGCCATACCAGGCAGTGATGCAACCAGTCAGGATGCTCTCGATGGTGCAGCTGTAGAACTTTTTGAGGATCTGAGGACCCATACCAAATATTTTCAGTCTCCTGAGGGGAAATAGGCTTTGTCGTGCCCTCTTCACGACTGTCTTGGTGTGTTTGGCCCATGATAGTTTGTTGGTGATGTGGACACCAAGGAACTTGAATCTCTCAACCTGTTCCACTACAGCCCTGCCGATGAGAATGGGGGCGTGCTCAGTCCTCTTTTTTTTCCTGTAGTCCACAATCATCTCCTTTGTATTGATCACGTTGAGGGAGAGGTTGTTATCCTGGCACCACACTGCCAGGTTTCTGACCTCATCCCTATAGGCTGATCAGGCCTACCACTGTCGTGTTGTCGGCAAACTTAATGATGGTGTTGGAGTCGTGCCTGGCCATGCAGTCATGGGTGAACAGGGAGTACAGGAGGGGTCTGAGCACGCAACCCTGAGGGGCCCCCGTGTTGAGGATCAGCGTGGCAGATGTGTTGTTACCTACCCTTACCACCTGAGGGCGGTCTGTCAGGAAGTCCAGGATCCAGTTGCAGAGGGAGGTGTTTAGTCCCAGGGTCCTTAGCTTAGTGATGAGCTTTGAGGGCACTATGGTGTTGAACGCTGAGCTGTAGTCAATGAATAGCATTCTCATGTAGGGGTTCCTCTTCTCCAGGTGGGAAAGGGCAGTGTGGAGTGCAATAGAGATTGCATCATCTGTTAATCTGTTGGGGCGCTATGCAAATTGAGTGGGTCTAGGGTTTCTGGGATAATGGTGTTGATGTGAGCCATGACCAGCTTTTCAAAGCACTTCATGGCTACAGGCATGAGTGCTACAGGTCGGTAGTCATTTAGGTAGGATATCTTAGTGTTCTTGGGCACAGGGACTATGGTGGTCTGCTTGAAACATGTTGGTATTACAGACTCAGTCAAGGATATGTTGAAAATATCAGTGAAGACACTTGCCATTGGTCAGCGGATGCTCGGAGTAATCCGTCTGGCCCTGCGGCCTTGTGAATGTTGACCTGCTTAAAAGTCTTACTCACATTGGCTACGGAGAGCGTGATCACATAGTCATCCGGGAACAGCTGATGCTCCCATGCATGCTTCAGTGTTGAATGCCTCGAAGCAAGCATAGAAGTGATTTAGCTCGCCTGGTAGGGTCATGTCACTGGGCAGCTCGCGGCTGTGCTTCCCTTTGTAGTCTTTCAAGCCCTGCCACATCCGACGAGCGTCGGAGCTGGTGTAGTACGATTCAATCTTAGTCCTGTATTGACTCTTTGCCTGTTTGATGGTTCATCGGATGGCATAACGGGATTTCTTATGAGCGTCCGGGTTAGAGTCCCGCTCCTTGAAAGCGGCAGCTCTACCCTTTAGCTCAGTGCAGATGTTGCCTGTAATCCATGGCTTCTGGTTGGGGTACGTACGTACAGTCACTGTGGGGACAACATCAGTGACTGATGTGGTGTACTCTTCAATGCTATTGGAAGAATCCCGGAACATTTTCCAGTCTGTGCTAGCAAAACAGTCCTGTAGCTTAGCATCTGCGTCATCTGACCACTTCCTTATTAACCGAGTAACTGGTGCTTCCTCCTTTAGTTTTTGCTTATAAGCAGGAATCAGGAGGATATAGTTCTGGTCAGATTTGCCAAATGGAGGGCGAGCTTTGTACGCGTCTCTGTGTGTGCAGTAAAGGTGGTCTAGAGTTTTTTTTTTTTTTCCCCTCTGGTTGCACATTTAACATGCTGGTAGAACGGGTTTAAGTTTCCCTGCCAACGCTAAACTCCGTGAAAGTAATTGAAAGTCCAACAAGCGGGGGTGGTGTCTGGTCGTCACTAGTTACTACAGCTACAAATTCATAAACCCCGCCTATTTAAACAATTATCTTCTTAATATCCGTTTTATAACCTAACCACACTGCTAACCTTATGCCTAACCATGACCTCAAATTAAGACCAAAAAGCTTATCTTTGTTTTTATAAATGTTTACCATAGCCAATTTTGACTTTGTGGCTGTGGTAACCGTGGTATCCTCATGCTAGCGACTGTTTTGAACTCGAATACCAGAAATCGGAGTTGCATAGCTAACTTGGTGGCACCACTTGGTAAGATAATTCCCATATTTACTGCATCTACAAGCTGAGTTTAATAGCCGTTTTGAAAGAAAATAAATATTCTACCAATGTACAGCCCGTTCATTAATTCAATGAATGAGAATGTTTTGAGCAGGCTATTTGAGACACAAGCATATTCACTTTTAGCTAGCTAGCTAACCTGCTGGTGAATTTTGCTTGTCAACTAATGTTACAGTAGTTAGGTAGTTCGGTTGTCAAATAGTAAACTAGTTAGCTAACGTTAAATACTTGCCAACCAACTGTGCCGTTTTAGCTAGCTTTTGTTTGTGTCAAATGAGCGAAAACATGATGAGCGAGGATGCCAGAGGCGGCATTAGGAATATTTAAAATATTTCAGCTTTAGGTATTCATATGTAACCTGGCATTTAAACTGGCTTGTACGTATTTATTAGTGGTTTCTATAGAAATAAAGATCTAGGCTACTTTAACTACACCGACCTTTGCACCACTCCTGCCTTTTAATCGCCATGTGGATCTGATTTATTACTTTCGTGCACTGTCATAAGCTTTTGCCCGGCAGTATTGCCTGTAATGTCTAGTGTAGCATTGTTTAACTACAACCTACTCACTAATGAAGGCTCTTTTCTATACATGGGTTGAGTAACTTTGATGCCTCAGAACAGGGGTTCTCAAAGTGGGGTCCGCGCATAGCTGCAGGAAGAAGTTTGGGGTGGGGGTGCTGCGATTTCTTTCGCCGCAGATGGTGTGGTGGGTGGTGCTGAGAATGTTTTGTCAACGGGTGGGGGGGGGGCTGCGCTTTCGCTGCAGACTGCTAAATTAGTTGCTAATACAGGACTATTAAAGAGCCAGTGCACTACTTAAAATATGATTTATTTTATTTATTTATTCTGATTTTTCAGGGGGTGCTGCAGCACCCTTATTTCCCGCGGCTATTCGGTGCACGGAGGTACAGCATGGGGTCCACCTCCAGATCTAATAAAAAAATATATATATATAACATTTCTTTTTTTTTTTATGAATATTACTACCAACAACACATTAAAAAATTTTGGCCAAGGGATCCGTGGAATAAGTTTAGAGGGTGTAATTTTAGAGGGTGTAATACAATTTAATATTATTACTTTACAATTTATGTAACCCTTGGTAGCTCTCAAAATCCTTCTTCTCCATATGTAGGGTTTTCAGTCATTACATTCGCCCACAATTGGCTCCGTGTACACTACGCCATTCATAGACGCTAACTACTTTAGCACATGTTGACAATATAATCTTCTGAACAGGAGAGTTTTGTTAAGAGCCCTGACGCTTGCTCTAAACATTGAGACGAATCACTTGATCTACTCTTTTGGAAACATAGGGAATGTATCTTTCATATCAGCGTGAAATAATTTCCCAAAAGGTAAATTACTACACATCTTGTTAGGGTTAATGTTCCCACATGGCCGTATCGCCATTTTACAGCTCTTGTTTACGGAAGACAGACTGAAGACAGGCCTGTGCTAATTAGCTACCTAGTGTGCTCCGAACACCTGTGTGTTATGCCGTGTTCAGAACAACTAGGAACTCGGAAATCTCCAACATCCAACTTCAGAGCGTTCAAAACAACTGGGAACTCTGAGAAAAACCGATTTGAACAGTCATCCAACTCGGAATTCCAACTTGGAAACTCGGGCCTCTTTCTAGAGCTCTGACTTTCCAACCTGAAGATCACTGACGTCATGATTTTACCTCGTATTTTTCAGGGTTCCCAGTTGTTTTGAATGTGGGGAGGAAGTGTTTTTTTTTTAAATTTTTAAATTTTTATTTCACCTTTATTTAACCAGGTAAGCCAGTTGAGAACAGGTTCTCATTTACAACTGCGACCTGGCCAAGATAAAGCAAAGTAGTGCAATAAAAACAACACAGTTACATATGGGGTAAAAAAAACATAAAGTCAGAAATACAACAGAAA